TATTTATAAATTACTAAATACTTACCTTTCTTAGTATTTTCTAGAGCTTTATCAACTTTTGAAATTAAAATTAAATTGCAGACAATTTTGACTGGTCGATAACCAGTTTTGGATAATTACCTTTAAAGGTCTTACAGTTTAAAATGTAGGATATCAGGAAGGTTAGAGTGTAGTATCTGCGCCCGTTAATCAGCCGTACTCCACCTCCCGTCTTAAATTTTAAACTTCAATAACATTAAAAGTAATTATCTAAAGCTGGTTATTGACCAGTCAAATTGTTGAGCAAATTATTTTAAATTAAAAACATGAATTCAATATAAGTTACTATTTAAGTTTGAAAAGTTGTTAAAGCTCTGAAAAACATTTGATGGATAAACATATGATTATTGTCTCATATTTAAAAATAATATAAACTAAATTGTCTTCAAAAAGAAAAATTACAAAATTGCTATTATTTTAAGAAAAAATGAATCTCTTATCCTTAATGAATCACCCTGTATACTATGTCTCTTTAATTTTACAAAACGACATTTTTACATTTGTCTAAAACATTAAATATTATAATATATTTTAGATGGAGAACTCTTTTTATTAACTAACTATGTATAGTTTATATTACCCGCCTACCTAGTTGTATGTACATCACCAGTGGGTCCTGAAAAATATCTAAACACTGTCTTTAATACAGATAACGTCGATTGCAGTGGTGGCGCCAGACATATACACACAATGCCGGCAACTATTAATCATCCCAATGAGGCAAATGTAAATTAATATTTTTTAATTCCATCATTTCTTAAATTTTAAATTTCATCAATTTTAGGTGGAACTCTGTTGGGATAACGCCAAAATCGAGGGCAACAATTTCCACAACCTAGCGCCGCGCCGTGCCGCACCGCCCATGACAACTAGACGTTAATAATATTTACATAAAAAATAATAATTTAAACAAGTGGAATATCCTCAAATTTTTGTCATTATTAATTTTTTTGGTATTTTACAAGTTCCGAGAAACCGGTTTCTTTGCACATGCCACCGGTGCGATACAAAGATGTAAATCGTTTTTATTATATTGTTATCATATTTTAACGATTTTGTTTTATTGTGTTTTAGCGTTGAGTAATAGCCGTCGTTGTCTTGTACACATGTAGGTATATAATACTATTATGTATACACATAAAATACACAGGTATGTATACTATATTACTATGTGGGTGTGTGTGTGTGTGTGTGTGTGTGTGAGTACATAAAATTAATAGTGGTATCGGATTGCGACGACGACCACCGTCGACCAAGACACGAAGACTACGAGGCAAAGGACGCGTTGTATTGTTATCGTCTTGTATCTACTGTAATAATAAAATTATTATTGTTGTATTAATAGGTACCACCTCGGCGATATTCCTTTTCTAGAAAAATAAACGCTTACCCGAACACTTCGACTTGTGCAATAAACCGAATACTTATAATGCCTGAAATTGACAGACTTGGCTTTGCGTGTAGTAGCATTAGTTTGATGATGATTTATTATTGGCTACTATTTGGGCTAGTATTTTAGGTTTCAAAATACCTCAAATGACCAACCATAGGTCAAATTAATTAATAATTAAAAAACATATCGTGAAAAAATGCTTATTGATTGACCAAACCTTTAATGAATGATCATACACTCAGCATTAGAGTTTAATAATGCGAAAGGACTGTTTTTTTTTTGAGCACGGAAAAAAATAATTTGCTCATAGTAAATGGTTGAAAATATTCTAGTTGTATCAACTATAATAATATGGTTGCGCCAATAACATTATTTTAGTTAGAAATACCAAATTAGTTTAGATGTTTTAGAATAGTTGGATTAACTAAACATTTAGTTGGGTTAACTATACTTTTATGTTGAATATCTATATTTAGACATAGGCGGCTGTGGCGGGAGTCGGCCGCAGCTACCAGCCGCCTGCCGCCGCTCCGTACATGTGTACAAAATAATATGTTCACTATAAAATAAATACCACTTAAATACCCCAAAATCCCGTAGAAAAGTAGCAACTAGAAAGGGTTTAAAATAATAGGTGTATAGGTAGCTTCGATGCTCAAGCGGTCCTCAACCTAACGCAGCCCGGCGTAATCTCTGTATAACGTGACAACTGGTAAGGCTCATCAAAGATGAAAGTTTTTTATTTTTAAAAATATACAAGTTTTGAATGTAATTAAATGGACAGCCACTTTTTCGAATGATGCATTTAAAAGGCCAAAATTACTATTAATCACACAAAGTACATTATAATATTTGGCTGACGCGGTGGAATAGTTTAGGTGGGAATTTATATTTAAAAACAATTGTTCGGTCGCACAGGTGAGTCCTGCGTATAGGTTTTCGGTCGGTAGAACAGACCAAATGTTATTTTTGTTGTTTGACTTTTAGTGACGACCATCTGCTCTTGGTGCGAATCCTAAACAAATACCGTGTGCACTCTTTTTGTCGTCACGAGACTATCCTACAACATTAGATGGCGCGTTTCGAGTGCGTTAGCGAAATGCAACGGCAAACACAACACATTATCCCACGCCCGGGTAATTTAGCGGAGTAAAAATAAAACATCTTTTTCCGTGGCTCCCTACATTATTGTGTTCTTACTGAATATAGAAGAACTACATTTTTATCCTGTCTAAAACAAGTGACCGGACACAGGTTACAGACAATGAAAGGTACGACGGCTGTACAACTGAAGACTAGGAGTAGGTGAATCATACGAGTAGGTAATCTAAAAAGTATAAGACAACACATCGGAAATACAGTTTTATTTTATTATGTCCTAATATAATATGTATATATTTTATAGTCTGTAGATTAGTTAGGTACTTTACGGTGAGGTAGTCAAGCTGGTCTCGAGACGGCATGGTATCAATTTGCTGAATTATACTTATCAACTTATTTTTTACATAATAGTATATGTGCGCTTAACTGGTAATATATCAGCTAAGACCGGATGCGACAATTTGTACATAATAATTAATAATATACCTATATTGTAAAAATGCAATTTTATTGTCCTGCCCTATCTAATCGAATATTTTATCCCGTTGCCGCTCATATAAGTGCGTATCCGTTGTGGAAAAAATATTATGTCAATATACCCAACTATATAGTATTATAAAAATATGTATAACAGAGCTCTTAGCGGACGATAATGTTTTAACGGGCAAAAAAAAAATGAAATTACCGTCGATTCGATAACACGTTCGAATCTCGAGGCCAGATAGGGAATAAAAACCAGGCTGTGATAACGCTCATGGCCAACATAATACGGATGTTGCGCGACGTTCGAACAGAGCAACCCGGTCACAACACCGTCCGCGTTAATTGATTTAATCACTGGACCGTTATCACACGGTACATGGAAACAATACCTATATCAACATTAGCACGTGTCCCCGGCGGAGTTGTAAGCCAAAAAACTCTAATAAGGTAATTCTGGTAATATTTAATAATATAAACGCAGACCGACTGACACACACCGCAAACCATGCAAATAAGTGTATTTATGTATATTTTGTTTAAGTACAATTTATTTATAAGATTTCTATCTTTTTCAACTAGTACTATGTCAATATTTAAAGTAATGGGTAATTTGAACACGAACAAAACATCTAGGAAACTAGGGGTTTAAGTGTTGTTTGCTTCGACGAAAAAACAATAAACAACAATTTTTCAAAAAACAAGTAGAAAACATTGGTTTTAGAACAGATTTTTCGATATAATAATATAATACATTCAACATAAATAAAATTAAAATTGTTTTAACAAAACCCGGAATCTAAAGGTTGAAAATATTCTAAATCTTATTCTTATAAACGCTATATAATTTGAGCAGACCTACTATATTTTTTTGTATATAAGCTACTTGCACTACCGACCGCACCGTTTTTACAAAATACTAACAGCTATAATATATAGTGTATATGTGATTATTTTTAGACCGACCTCGTGAGATATCAGGAAAAAAACATGTACACCAACCGAGTTCAGGTGCCGCGGCTGGTAACCAACGCTTTGCTTTAAATCCAATTCGACGCATTTGCGGTCAGAAAAATATTATTGGCCTACAACTCAATAGAAATTTCCGTCGAACGCGTACAGTAGTATAATTATTGTATTTTTTTTTAGACCGAATTGGCGGAGTTGCAAAAAAACAACTGACGGTGTCGATTGTTATAGGCCGCCAACAGAACGGCCCTCCGATCCGTATCATTATTAATAGTGTTCCCGTTTACACAACCGCTATGGACCTATAAATATGAGCATTATACTTGAATCCCGTGTCGAAAGCGCGTTGTGTTTTGTACCTATTCGATTTTGAATACGCGACCGTCATAAAACTTACAATGCAACATGGCGTTGCGACAACATTTTAATAATTTCTGCACACAATGTCAAGTTGCACAAACAACGGCTAATGATACATTTTAATTGATAAATCCCAGACAATATGCAATATAATATTATACTACATGTTGGTCGAAGATTATACAAGCGATTGAGAAGTCCAGGGCCTACTTGCCGTAAGTCTTGGCAACGTCTTCCTTATTTTATTATTTATCTTTAAAACCTACACAAACCACAACAGCTATTTAATTTTTGTATACGACTAGAGTCTTGAGATTGGCGTGTTAGTTTTAAACCTTAACTTTCACCCGAGATCCGCGTTTTGATGTTTGCTACGCTATTTGGTTCGAATACTGGGGGCGTTAATGTCATAATTTGGAAAAACGGAAGTATAACATTTGTATGCGATTTAAGTGGAAGGGTAAACGATGCGGTTGAATGTGACCACAATATAGTATGTTTTAAAACTCGGAATGGGTTATACTGGTGTGATTATAACTCATGTTTTGATTTTTTTACACGAGCATTACCGGGCCGAGTTATATTTCCAGTAACACTCGTCAAGAGGTGTGAAAACGGCAATTGAATGGGAACACCATTAAAAAAATCATGTACTCACCCGTCTTTTTGCTCGGCTGCTCGATCCCGTTGTCTGCGGTTCTTAAACCAGTTGGACACTTGCGTGGTAGTCAGTCCCGTGGCCTCAGCCAGTTCGCGTTTCTCCCTGGGACTAGGATACGGGTTGCTGGCGTACCACTCGCGCAAGACCATCCGGGACTTCTCCTTAAAACAGTAGCTAGTCTCCTCGCCGTCCCATATAGTGCGAGGCAGCGGGAACTTGCGGCGTACACGGTACTTGCCGACGGCACCCAGCGGGCGACCGCGCAGCTTTTCGGCTTCTACGTAGTGCGCTTTCAGCCAAAGGGCCTGCAGTTTAGGGTGGTTGTGCGCCGAGAACTGGTTGCTTTCTAGTAGCCGATAGAGCTCCTTGAAGTTGCCTCGGTGGAACGCCACGATAGCCTTGGCCTTAAGTACGCTTTCGTGCTTGTGCAGCTTGTCGCAGCTGGGCAACGACCACAGGAATCGACCTAGCCGCTCGATGTTGCCGGACTGCTGCAGTACCTCACATACGCAAGCCACCTGTTCCTGTGTAAAACCAAAAGATGGCAACTGTAACGGTGCCATTCCTCCAGTTCCTCCAGTTCCTCCGCCGCCGCCGCCCCCGGACGAAGAACCCGCTGGCGAGTGCTGTTGCTGAGGTTGTCCGCCGCCTCCGCCAGCCGCTGTGACCGCGGCCGTTCCGTGATGTGGCGAAGTACCTTGGAGGCCACCGCCCGAATGGTCAACCGATGTGAACTGACCGAAATTGGCGCCCGGAGCGCCGCTACCGATCAACATGATATCGGCTGACGGCCTATCAACGGGCCCGGAGTCGCGAGCACATTATCGAACACGAGAATAATATTAATACGATTACAACTGAAAATAATATAGTAACTAGAAATCGTCGTGGAAAATATCAATATCAATAGACACCGTTGGGCGTAAAATAAAAAAAACACAAATAATAAAAACGAATTCTAAATAAAAATGATTTGAACGCGCGTTTAACCGATTTGACGTTGTGCGTGTGTACGACGTTTGGGCTTGGCGGCCGACTGACACGACGACTAGCGCGTCCCGGGCGGTCGGTCGGTTGCCAGCGGCCGTCCAGCCAGACGTCCCGGCTCTCGTTCCCCACCACTGGCCACTACCACAAGGCTTCAGAACAACGATTTGGCCACCGCCGTAACCATGGCAACGTGGTGTTACTAACACCCAGTCCGGTGATGGGCGGCTCCACTCCCCTCTAGATGGGCGCGGTCACCGCAATCGGGAGGCGCCACGTCCGGGTCACAGTCGAGGAGTTCTGCCGGCCCAATTATTTTTATTTCTTTATATTATTCATTTTTTTTCTTCAAATTTAATTTCTAAAAAATCAACTGACGAGTAGCGTGAGGAAGAAATATAATAATAAATTATTATTACGCGGTTTCCTCTTCTTGTCGCGTGATCTTGCGTGCTTTATTGGGTGTAAATCATTATTATGTAATAACACAAATTTATAATCATACATAGGTACGAGTTCGAAAAACAAATATATTTAACTCTGCTGTCATTATTCCACGTATAAATTATAATTAAATACGGACTAATTAAAGCGTTCAAAAATTTAACTAAATAAACACAACTATTTTATTATAAGTACTTATGGTGTCTAATATGGCGCTTTGTGGCTACGACTGACGTGGATGCGGTTAAAAACTAGAACAGATAAGATTTTATTCATATGAAGAATAGTGCTGCAATGAGTATATTTTAATAAAATCGATTTTGAGTTTCCCGCCAGACTTAGTGTCAGTGGCGCAACTAAGGGGAGGGGGGTCCTCGGATCCAGACCCCCCGCCCCTTGAGTATTTCTAAAGTGGAAAATTGGGTAAAGTAATTTTAGTTATTGTCTAATTATATTGTACAGTTAACAATATTTGTTAATTTTGGTAATATAATAATATAATAATTTTGTTTTGGCCTGCTTTGCAGCAGATAACAAATCGTTATCACATATTGTCATTTTCTTATATTACACATGGACCTTATACCTAAAAACCGTACTTTAGACCCCTCCAAGGGATATTTCTGGTTGCGCTACTGCTAAGCGTATAGCGGCAATTTCTTCGGATGTAACAAGTCCAAAAATTCGAACATATTTTCTCCGGTAGATTTGGCGCCTGACGAATACTAAATATCAGGTGTAACTCACGAATATAATAATATAGCATAATACTGAACATATTGTCTATAACATTAAACATTTTATTTACATGTCTGATTCAACTAGGAAATTTTATATAATTATTAAATCACATTGAACTGCGGAGTAACATTCGCAATTCGGGGTAATATGTATATATATTTTTTTTTATAGGCATTTTTTATTATTTTTTTTATTTAAAAATATATTTACAATCTGTAATATTAGGTACAATGAGTAAATTTGAAGAAAATTATACAATGACAGCACGACATGATAGAAGGGGTGTCCAGTAACACTACTTCAAATAGATTGAATTACATAATTAAATAATTGTTATAAAATTGCTTAAGTTTGCTTAGTTGGTTTTGTATTTTTTAATTAGTTAGGTATACTCAATTAAAACATTTTCAGATGTATAGGTACTTGCCCATGTCTGTTTAATTGCTGGCGATTTAGACCCATTTTCGACGTTTTGCACTCTATCTTTAGAGCTATAATCACCATTCCACTGTCGCGACTATACTAAATATATAAAAAAAGACACGAGTATATCCGAAAATGATCACGTTAATATTTTAACATTCATGTACAGCTTTGTATATGCATTAGTCGACAATTGATGTTGACCAAGACGTGTTCTACGATAAATCCATATAATATAGATCGAACAATTATTTTGATATTCGTTTCGAAATAAACAACATTTTATTTGTTTGATAATTGATTGCCATTTTTAAAAAAAACTATGAAATACTATTATTAGCTATCTATGGCGTAGACGTCTAGTGACAACTTATTAAAGTATTCACCTCACTCAATTTTGAAGAAAAAATACACGGTTGTTGAGTGGCTCATCTAAAGTTTAACAAATAACAGCTTTAAAAATCAACTTACTAACGGAAGTCTAAAACCATGCAGTGACACCAGTTTCAATAACAATTAAACGTTTTTATAAAATTCATTTGTTTGCTGGCTCGAATCGTCGCGCGGTGTATTGATATACCATTTGGCGCGAGCTGATAACCAGTTTCAATAACACTTTTCCGGGTCGAATGATTGCGTTCATTTTTATTTTGGAATTTATGATTTTTAACATAATTTATGACATATTTCGTCCACGCAGCATAATGGCAACAGGATTTTACGCCTCGAGCGGAGGAGGCGACGGCCCGGAAGTCGTTCCAGATCGGGCAAAAATTTCCGTATGTCATAAAGAAACTATTGGCAAGGGGTCGTTCGGTCGGGTCAAGTATTGCGTGGCCGAGGTAGACGGCCGGCGCTTGGGATTTGCTGTCAAGATTATCGATAAGAAACGGACAAACTCTTCAGCAATTATGCGTGAGGTGTCCATCCTGGAGAAAGTCCGACACGCCAACCTTATAACGTTTGTCAAGATCAGTGACCAACAGCACCGCGTTTACTTATACATGGAGTACTGCAAGTAAGTATACACCCATATACAATATAAATGTACATTGTCGGCATAAACAACACGGTGGACTATAGATGTAGTATTAGATACATATCTGACTCCGTACAGAAACGGTGACTTGGCCCGGATGATCAAGAACAACGGACCGTACACCGAACGAAACGCCCGTCATCTGTTCATCCAGATCGTTGCCGCCATCGAGTACTTGCACAGTATAGACGTGGCACACAGAGACCTTAAGCCGGAAAACGTGCTGCTCAACCACCTTAACCAGGTGAAAGTAGCCGACTTCGGCTTAGCCGCATATATTCGCAATCCAATGAACGGCCGCCGGACCTTAGCGTACTCCCGATGTGGCACCGAAACGTACATGCCGCCCGAAGTGTTGAGCAACTCCAGTGAAGGCTACAACTCTACTTTATTTGACATATGGTCGATGGGTGAGTGGCCAGTAAAACGCACCAGTCAATTATCATCCGAAAACAATACATAGGCACCCCACGGTGCTTCATTAAGCTGATGTGGGGTCTAATACTGTAAACGCCGGTGTTTTGCAGGAGGCGTACTGCACTTCATGTTGACCGGTGAGGTGCCGTTCGTGGGCAAACGGAGTTCGGAAATCTTGGCGCAACAGTTAACCGGCAACATATTTTTATTCCGAGCGAAGCACGTGCTGACCGTGACCGCGTCCGTCAAGAGGCTGATTCGGCTAATGCTAGAGCCAGACGTCCTGAAACGGGCTAGGATACCCGTGGTCAGGCGATCCGAATGGATGAACCTCACTGATCCCCCTGACTAAAAAGAAGCTCTGCGGACTGCAGTCTGTGATGCGTTTCTGCTTAACTCGTCCGAGTTTCTTTAGCCGTTTATACTTTATGTGTGAGCAATTAATCGCCGAGTCTTCTAGCACGTGGGATACGAAAAATCTTTTACCTTTTACCATATTAATATTATATCTTTATAAGTTATTATACTAAAATAGTTAAAATATTTATTCGCGTTTATCTAACCATAGCAACATTAATATCAAAATTATATTTTGGCCTCCACAACTAACGGTTTTACAAAACTAAGTTAGATAAATGAAGTACTAACTATAGAACATACCGACCAGATAACGACCAGAGTTGTTTGTACGAGGAATACCTACTGCCTTCATACGCATTTCCCCCCTTCCTGACCATTGATAATAAAATAATGGATAGGACAAGCCAATATTAGTACTGCAAGAGTTCCCCAAAAGGTTAAAAAAGGGGAAGAGAGAATATTGAGAATATAAATTGGTTTGAGAGAGACAGACGACAAAAGGCCTTTTTGAAGGTTATGGTTACAACAATTATGATTATGATAGAAAAAAATGTAAAATCATAAGTATTATTGTATTATTATTTTTTTATTACAATCCAGTAGGTACCAATTATTATTAACAATTGCTTAATATTTTTACACTTTAATACCTAATCATTTATAATAATTATTTAATAATATGTAAATGTATGACAAAATAAAGGCATTCATAATAACCTTAAAAATATTATCACTTCATTCTATCAATGCTTCTGTTAATATTGGACTCAATATTTGTGAATAGGCAAATAATCGGTATTTACAGTACACCTAGGGCAAAAATAGACAAGTCGTAGAAACCTTGAAAATTCAAGAATAACCTTACAGGAGCCGTCTGTTTTGTATGTGTGCCCGTATAAACAATTGTATCAATACTAGAACCAGAAACCTGTTGACAATCTCCCGTCGTATTGTATGTATGCGACCATCTGAGCGCCCAGCTTTATTGTGGGTAAATAATTAAAACATGTTATAATTAAATCCCAATTTTACTGTTTGATTATATGTTATTATCAGAATTCAATTTTAATATTAATATGTTCAAAGTTAATTTACAAAAACTGCATGCCACCCACGTTTATAATATAAATTATATTATCTTTGAAAAAATTGAAATGAACGCCATCTGTTATCGCAAAGTCAATTATCTTATAATTTTGAAATTTAGCATAGACTTAAGCCGATAAGTTAAATAGTTAAAAACTCCAGATAACTAAGAATCTGTTTAAATCGCAAGTCGCATTTCCCCCCCAGAATGAAATCATGAGAAAGAGAAGCTACCCACTGACGGCACTCCTATAGGTTGTGATTCTTACTTAGGGGGAGAGAAGATCACGACATCCCTTCCTTTTTAGCCTTTTGGGAAGGTTATCGAGAATATTTGGTTGTGAAAGAATTTTTTTAATAGTGTTAGGATGATTTTCTAAGGAATTGTGATAATTCGTGTAAAGTTGTTTGGCAATTTGGAAGACAGTTTTGATTTGTAGGTCTGAGTGTAATGTTAAGTTAGACACATATAGGGAGGAGCGTTAGTTAAAAGACGGAGTATTTTGTTTTGAGATACTTGTAGTTTATTTAGGTTAGAGTGTTTTGCAGAACCCCAGATTTGTATTCCATAGAGGTTTGAGTAAGAGTTCGTATAAAATGAGTTTTGTATAAGGTGATAGCTTTAGTTTATAGTATATAAAACGTTTAAGTGATTTCAAGCAGGCAGACTTGGATTTATTTATTTTTATCTTCCAGTCACGATACCAGGATTGTAACAATTTAAATGGGATTGGTTGGAATTGATATCCAGGGGTGGAAAGTTTTTCATTTCACTTTTTCAAACATAGTTTTAGGACCCAATGTCTCAAATAAGACTTACTTTCTATCTAAAATGAGGCTATCAAATTTACCTTCCGATCAACCTTAATAGTATCCACCCTAATACTAAAAATACAATTCTAAGTACAATAGTGTTTTTATAATAATTTTATAGTTATATTTTAATTAATATACATAATTTTAAAGTGATTTCATCACTCAGTTATAATAATTCCTATAGTCCTAAAAGTATACCGACCTCACTATTTTCTCCGTCTATAGTACTATACAGTAACCTTATACTATGTCGGCTTTTTAAGGGGTAACTTTTAAAAGTCACAAATATGTTTAATTTTCCCATTAAAAGTGGTATGATGTAATCAAAATTATAGCTGGTCGATAACCAGTTTTTAATAATTACTTTTTGAGTTATTAGCACTTAAAATTATTACATTTGCAATAGAATTTACGTACTATAATAATATGATAATATACATATTGTATTATTTTGAACAAAATAATTATTATTGTGCGTCAAGTAATTTTAATATAACAGACATTCATTATAATTTACAGTACTGGAGATGCTTTTTTACTTCAAACTCCACAATATTACTCACAGACCACAGTTTATATGCCGGATGTTAATACGTAAGGTGTTTAAACTAAATGAGGTTGGTGGAGTACTATAATTAGGTATGGCATGCTCTCATGTATTATCATATTATCATAGACCGAATCTTCACCATAGACCTCCTTACGATCAGACCTTTCTTTCGAGGGAGCGAATGTTGCGAATGATCATTTTGACCTCTTGTTTTAAATTTTATACCAACGAACAAGCGCAGCAAATGTGCCAACAAAACGGTCATAAAAATTAAAAAAACCATTGTAGTGGCGATAACAGGAAGTAATTATTATGTAATGTGCATGCGCCTCGTTCAATCGCTACATACCCCTTATCACTATTAAAGGTTCTGTCGAGAGCTATGAAAAATAACGCCACAATTACTTTACAACTCTATAAAAGGTGCTATAGTAATTTAACGTAATAACTATTATAACGTCGAAATTATTATAATATTATTTATGCTAACAGAGCTCAAAAAAACCATCAACATTTTTCCTGTACTTTTGTTATTACGATAAATATATGATAATAGAATATTGTAACAAGCGCCAAAATTAGCGATGGTAACATTTTATAGATCAAACGAAATATGAGCCAATCACAGTTGTATGGTAGGATATAGATGGACATTTTTTTAAACATTTTAAGTAAACTAAAAGAAAACAACTTAGCTGAGAGGTCTCTATAACGAGGTATTTTTGGTCGAATACAATGTTTATTTGTTTACTCATTCTAATTTTAACCGAACTCTTTAATCATGTAAACCGTCAATAGTTTGGAAAACAAATATACATTGTTCAGTACTTGCTTGATGTATTGACCTAAATACATTTTTAATTTTCGTCGTTTATATTGGTGTAAAAAACAAAATGTTTTACATTTGTTTTTACGTCGTTAAATCGTACAAACGTTATTTATTTAGCAAAGCTATTTTCGAAATAAATATTTATTTGGTTCTTACTTCTCTAGATTGTAGTTGGTAAACGTAATACTAGTATAGTAATGTATAATAAAATCTATAAGCAATACCTGGTAAACTATTGTGTTAAAAGGTCCATATCATTTCATTATAGACTGTTAGTTGTACTTATGCAAACATGTTTGCATGGTGGCAAAGTAGTGAGTTCCCTAACTTTTTCGGTAAAAAAAATGACGTTAATTCAGCGTATTTAGCCTATTCTATGTATTTCATAGAGAAACTGGTAAATATCGATACAGGATACACAAAAAGATCTCTCTCTATTCGACTTCTTCGATTAATTTTTAAAAGTCTTGGTGCCATTTTTCTAAATATTATTACTATAGGTAGACAACAAAGTAATCAGAATATTTTTTTTCACATGGTTGTTTTCTCACATTTGAAACGGTTGGTTAAATGTACTCGACTGTCTGGCCAGAACGATAAGAGCCGCGTCTATTGAAGACGATGGGCTAACCGTGATATTTTTCAGAGCGTCAACGGATGGAATTAACCGATTCGTTCCTCGTCGACCGTACACGAGGGCGATGACTGTGATCGGAACAAAAACCAAAATACCAACCCACTACCAGCTGTATTCACTTGCAATGTCATCGCCATTTCCTATACGTTTAAACCCGTTCGGAGGCGTTTCATACTTCCGTTGTCGCCTTCGATGCTCTACACGCTTTCTGCATAGGCGACGGTCAAAACGCTGACGATTTTGTTAATGACGGTTTAAAATTACCTGTTGAGTCATGATAAAGTCGATGGTATGCTTCTTAAAAATATACTTTCTCACGCATCGCCAATAACTTAATATTGGAACGATGATACTCCCTTTACCGTGGTATCTAGAACGTGTATTTACCAATTGCTTATTATAGATACGAGTGTAATACTTTAGATTACACTCGGGAATGTATAGTGTATACTGTACTTATGTGTTGAATACATAACTATTAAATTGTAATGTTTTGGAAATCAATTCATTAACTTTATTAAGATGGAACGGGTTTATACCTGTAAAGTGTAAGTTTTTCAATACAAGAGTCATGCAGTATAAACTTAAAATTGGCAGTTTAAATATAATAATAATAAAAATTCAATAAAAATAAAAATTGAAAGGCATAAGGGCATATTATAAACTAATTTAGTGAAAAAAATATAATAAAAAATAGGTGTTTTAACTTTTTTGAAAAATTTGGATATCTTTTCTAGGGACTTTAAATAAATTATTACGTATTTTATATGTTAATTTACCATTATTTTATTTCCTAAATTGTAATTATAGGATGTGTTATTCAATACACAGATTATACAAAAAATGGCGACTGCATAATGAGAACTAAAATACTACCAGGAAATATTTGTTTTTAATATTATATATTAGTTATATGTACGGTTTTGATAAACGGATAATAGTTTGCTGATAACCACAGATTGTGCTCTATTAGCCTATAGGCTATAGCAACATGCCAATATACACATAATGTGTGTTCTTATAGGCTACATAATTTCAAATAGTTTAAAAAAAATGTGCTCTTTTGGACTTCAT